TGCTGCTGCTGTTCGGGAGGAGGTGTCGGGAAATGCAGAGGCGAAGGAATGGATGAGCTTCGATCGGACAGACATCCCAGCGATGAAGTGGATGCGCTCGAGCATGTGCTGATTTGCCCGGATGGCGGATCCTTTGTCAGGATGAACGAATCGGCGCTACTTTCATCGCTACCTGAAAAATGTGCCCAGCGAATGAGGGTAGAACGCATGGCGGTAAGCCACAAGAAATACACATGAAATAAGACAGGCGTAATACGCAAGGCTTCATTATACCATTAACTTAACTCCAACTTTCACTAACTTCAATTATCGCAACTGTCGTACTGAAGAGGTCCAATTGTGATAATGGTAAGAAATGTATACGAATTAATTGGACCGAAACACTTTCTACCATTTTAATAATCTCACAAATTTCCTAATTTTCATTTCTTACCTTCCTTTTTCTTTTTTTCCCATTCTTTCCTATTGCAACTTTCTATTCCCGCAGAAGAGGACACACTACAGGATGCCCTCAGAGATAATAAGTATAGAATTTCAGCAAAAAGTGGCAGGCTTTACTTGGACCCCCCTCCCCTTCCGCCTCCTCGGCGTAAGCAGAAATCAGTGCATTAAGCACATAGATACTTCGAAGGCCCTCTTCTCCATTAAATTGAAGTATGTGAAACAAACTGACCAAAGCTCAGGATAGTAGGGTCTTGGATGCTGTTGCGCGCCTTTTCCACATATTGTGCCGCGCAAATGAGCTGCTCCAGGCAGAATGGCGAATGTCCACGACGACGATCCATGGTTACACCACTGCTGCAAATGCACCAAATTGTTTCTGGCGCCCAAATACAGACCACGAAAGCGCGCACCGCACAGACAACCACAAATGAGGATAGTACTACAGCATGCCTCATCCAGACAGAAGAAGCACGCCCTCCCCCGCCCCCCAGACGCACTCAGCTGGGTGAGCAGCGCACTCCTGCATATCCTGCAGCAGCAGCAGCAGTGGCAGCAGCACGCACCGCCACCGCAGCGACAGCAGCGGCAACCCTCACTCCACAAATGCCCATCCCATCCTGACACCAGACCCCCTCCCCTCCCCTCCACCCCCCTCACAGGCAGCCAGAGAGGCAGAGAGAACGCAACAGCAACGATGATAGATTGTGTTTGCCGAGGTCTTCCACGCCTTTTTGCACTGCTACCGAACAGACACAACCCTCCTCCGCCTACGCACACTCGGAAGAGTGATCCGGGGGATTGCACGGTGCGTGACGCTCCTGGCGACCGAGCACGGGCGTACGCCAAACGCTCGAGAAGCGTTTCTTGGAACGA